CTGCCCCATCTGTTTTGGGGCTCTGGCACTCCCAGCGCACGGTTCTGCTCCCCCCGTGACACAGCTGAGCCCCCAAACTGACCGGTGGGAGCACGAGGCGGTGTGCCCGGCACCGCCGCAAGAAACAAGGGGCGATGGAGGGGGCTGAGAGCCGAAAAAACCCAAGGCTTTGGGGTGGAGGGGATGAGGAGCCAGAGAGGATGGGCTGGCGGTCATTTGCCCCCAACCCCAGGGACTCTGTCAATCACTTAGTGTTTGATGGCAGAGTATGGCCCTGCCCGCGCCCCCTGCACCCCATATTATCCTCTCTCTTCCTCCCGCAATCCATTCCAGCAAAGGGGATTAGGTGGGTTTAGGGCCGGGTTTGAGTCGAAAATGGGATGCTTTCAAATCGGCCTGCGTCACTTGTGCCCCCTGTCACTCGTGCAGAGGGGGATTAAAATAGATACGAAGATTATCGGTGGGGAAATGGCACCCCCACCTTCGAGGGGCCCTGGCCCTTCTGCCCAGCATCGCTGCCAGCGCTGCTGCGTGTGGGGGCATCGCCCAGCGCGCGGGCTGCCCAGCTCCGGTCCCCCAGGATGCCTTCAGCCCCGAGGGCACAAATCTCTCCCTTTTCCTCACCTTTGTGCTCACACTAAGGCCCCGGTTCCAGTCCCCATCCCATACCCCTCTCCAAATATCTTTCCTACATGGGATGGGGGGGCGGACACTGCCGCAGCAGCTCTCGTCACCAATTCCCTTGTTTCCAGCCCAATCCCATTCCCAAAACGCCCCTTGGGCTCGATGCCAGTCCTGCGTGAGACCCCTGCCTGGACCCCATGGAGGGTTCCCGGCCCCATGGAGCCGCCGGCCCCTGACCAGGCTGGGGGCGCGGACACGGTGCTGCGATGTGGAGGGTGAGAAGGAATTGATGGAGAGGCGGCAGCACCTAAGAGGAGGCTTAGCACCAAGAGGTGCAGGTGAAGGGCAGGAAGGAGCCTGTGCGGGTCTCTGGTCCTCCAGAGCCCTCCAGCAACAGGCAGGGGAACGGTATCGCCACAAGACTATTAAAAAAGGGGAAAAAAACCACAATGAGAGACCAGTATTGCCTTTATTATTAATAACTGCTTGTTCCTGCGGTCCAGCGAGGTCCCCGTGGTCCTCGCAGGCCAGCACCACGGGCTGGGCTGCTTTTTTTTGCAGCGGTCCAGCCACGCGCGGCCCATCGGTGTTTCAAAACGTGCCCGTGGGTTTCGGCCACTTTATCAGGGCCGGTCCCCGTCTCCCGCCCTGCTTCAGATTGGCGTTTTAGGCCTGGAGCTGCCAGGTCTCCCTCGACGGGCACCTGCAGCCTCTCAGCCTCACTGATCTCGGTGCCCAGAAGATTTTGGGGCGAATTAGCCCCATCCTGGGTCTCTCAAGCGGTCCTTCGCCCAGCTCCCCGTTCCGCAGCAGCTGCCCCAGTCCCTTCCCCGTTCCCCCCCAGACTGGCAATGGGGCTGTGGGTTTAATCACTTTATGCATGTTTATTTGTGTAATTCGGAAGAGAGTGCCTCTTCCTCCCATCTGCCCCTGCCATCTGCTCTCCGTGGCGTTGCTGAACAAGCCCGGGCTTTGCAAATGGATGGAGCTGGTGCAGGGACGCAGGAAAACCTCCTGGGAATGGCACCTCCTTATAGCGAGCATCTGTCTCCACCGGAGCCTCTTCCCGGTGCTTGGAGCAGCTGCTGAAAGCTGCTTTGCTACAGCCCCTGGAACAAGTGAGGATGCTGTGATGCTACGCCGCATCGGCCCCCGGCTGCCTGCTGGAGACACTCAACCCAAAATGTCCCCTTCCAGCCCCAAAACGCCTGGCTTGGCACCTTCTTGGGCCAGCGGGAAGGCGATAGCTAAGCCTGTGCCCGGGAGCTGGGGATGGCAGAGGCACGCGTGGGGGATCCCCACAGCCCCTGGCTCTCTCTGTCCCTGTGGGGACCACCCTGGCCCGTGTCCCGCGGCAGCGGCTCTTTCCGAGGGGCCGGGATGGGGACGGGCAGGTGTGATGGCAGGGGTGGCACATGGAGAGAGTGGTCCCCGGTTCGGTGCGTGCACAGGGATGTGCGCGCGTGTGTTTACACACCCTTGTGCTTCCCCGTCCCACCCACCTCATGGCAGCCTGCGGCAGGACGGCATCCCACACAAGGGACAAGGGACACCTATAACAGAGCCCTTGAAGACCTGACCAGGGGCATGTCGTGTCCGCCCGGGTCTGCAGGCAGCCTGAGACCCCGGCTCCTGGACGGAGATGGCCGCGGCC